TTGTTATTAAAAATTATCTCCTACTTGAAAGTCTACAACTTACATGCGACAGTTCACATCCCTGACCACTGTCCATAATGGCTTGGGTTGGGTTCCAAATGATACCAGGAATAGTCTTTCTTTGTTGGCCAACTGCTCATCAATAAGCTCCTTTATGAATCAGAGATAATGATCATTTATACATTGCTTTATCAGCTTCAAATTTCCATAGTCCTTTTAAAAGAATTTTTTAATTGATATTATACACTCAGTTAAATTATACACTCAGTTAAATGACAAAGTTTGACCTTGACATCAGAAATCTTCACATATTGTTTAAGAAAGAAAGCATATTCCTGGAAGGAATTTTCTTTTTTAAGAAAGGATCAGATGAACATACAGTAACACTCTTAGAGAACTGTAAGTATAACATGAATTTTATGAAGTATTAATTTCATACCCCTAAAGATTCTTGAAAAAGCTGTAATCGGCCATATCCACAGTTTGAGTCTGATGCATCAACTAACAGAGCTACATTCTGGCCTTTCACTAAACCAAATGCCTGAGTACAAGAGAATCAAAACTGATCAATCATGGTCTGAAAGATGAAGCCATTCACTAGAACAGGTTCAGTTTGTTCCCTCTAAAATATAGTTACTGACGTCTAATTCAAAGTGGCTATGGGTCACAGAATCTCCACACTGCAGCTAGGCAACTGGTTGGAGAATTACATGTTGCTAGCACACTGCAATGACCAATTACAACTAAAAACAATAGTGCCATAAGGCCAAAAAAGAAGCTTGGATGGGCAAAATTAGAAAACAATCAATTCAAAAATCAAGGATAACTGAGTATGCTAGAAAAACCTTTTTCAAGAGTTCAATATATTGAATGATGCAAAAGTTCCATAAAAGTGCCATTCAAAGATCATATGCATTCGCCACAGGGCTGTGATGTTTACGGCAAAATATTGTTGCTGGGCTGAGCACCACGACCAAACTCCCTTTGTCGCATAATCATCTCTTCTCTTTCACCATCCCTTCCTGCTAAGCCCTTTATCCTATCTACACAAGGGATTTTTATCTCTCCCACTTTTTCCAAACTGCTGTCCTGTCATATCACTCCCTTCTGACTCCTTGCTTTATAATGTAACTATTCCTTCAAAACAAGGAGTTTCTCACCTCTCATTACAGTTTTGTACTATCATGGAAAAGAGATTATTAGTAAAGCAAACATACCCTTCTACTTCCTTTCAACAACCAGTTTATTCTCTGCTGGCACAGCTGTATCAGACTGAAAAAAAAAATTTAGAGCCTACTTAGCATAACAATCATAATAGTTCCAACTGAGTAATTTACCCACAAAGAACAAAGTGTTAAAATTTTTTTCAAACAACTACTGTAACTCTGCCTCCTTGCATAGATATGAAACCTAAGAAAAAAGTATGTATCATGACCAGCCACCAAAGATCACCAAGATGTATAGCATAGGGTTAAAATGAAAAGATAGGACAGTTGTAACAAAATTCCAAATTGAACATAGAGGAATTTAAGTAAAGTTTTCTTCTCCACACACTTTTTATAACACACACGTAAAAGACAAGAAGAAATTGCATTGACTCAAGAAGCAGCTTACTTGGTAATTTTAAATTCAAAATCTTGCAGCTTGACAGGATCATACTTCATGTGAACTTGACTTGGATCTGAGCCGAGGGGAGGTCTAAATGTGACAATATCATGAAAATTAGGTTTGGATAATCATCAAAGGTATGGCCTTTTTGAACTAACACCATTTTTTTAAAGACATGCCAACAAGGGATGGACTAACTTAATAGGAACTCCACATTTCATGATTTCATCAAATGAAAGAGCCTCAGCTTTAATGCTGTGTCTTCCCAGCCAATCAGATGAAGACTGGCCCTCGGCATGGGCTGCTTCCAATCCAATCACAGCCTACAGATCAAAATTTGACAAAAATTGAGTCAATAAAGCTTTATTAAAATACTCAGACATTGATTGCAAGAATTAGCACAGGAAACTTTTGCTACAATTACTTTGTGACATAGGTGAATATAAAAAAAGTCAGTCCTATTTATGTGACTGATGGGAATGACTCCTTCAACCCTCTTACTTCTAAGAGTGACCAGGGAGTAATTTCTCCCAACAATATTAATACACTGGTAACTAGACAGTTGATGAGAATTAATATCAGTAGAAATGAGGGGGATATCATTTGCAGGAGAAACAGTCTTTGATGAATGTAAGGTGGACAGTATGTAGAATTGCTTGTTAGATATTAGGAGTGAAAGGGTCAAAACTTTTCATAACTAACTGCAAATATTTTAAATGAAAATCAAATTTGTAATCAAAGGCTCATGATTTGTTAAAAAAAAAAGAGGTAAGAGAGAGATCTATTTATTTTCCCAAAGATGTATTTATTTATTAAATAAATACCATACACAGAAAAAGAGGCCTCACTGTTTATAACTGGATGCAAATGTTATATGTCCACTCCAGCAAAATACTCTTAAGTAATTATTACCTCTTGACCCATAACTAAATAATAATTTCTCTGATCTGTGCAGCCTACACTAACTATAATTCAATAACATGTACATTTCTATGATGAACAGAAAGCAGAAAGCATATTCAATAAGAATGTTGAGCAAAAGTGTGCTATTCAAGTCATAAATTGAAAGTAGATATGAAAATAACATGTTGAAAGTCCGATCAATCTAAAATTTTAACTCTTGCAAAAAAAGAGTAAAAATAATAGTGTGCCCAAAATTAATCTACATGCTCTTCAAAACAAAAAGATTACATCATTTTCCAGAAGTGTTTTCAGTCATGAACAAGATTAGTTTATTGTTATCATTTTTATATACCTGATCTTCATCCAAGCTTTCATTAGATGAGTACACCAGACACTTCTCTTTAAACATTTTAACTCAGAATCCAAGAAAACAAATATATCTGACTCTCAAATGTTATTTTTTTGTTGGTCCAAGATTCAGTGCTCTACTTTCAGACAAAAATAATTATATCTAGAGTAATCCAGTGAAAATAGGTTTTTTAAAGCATTCATCTAGCTTAGTAACCAAGGTACAAAAGGAGCAGGTGTTAAGGAGCATATTTTATTCATGAGATAATTATTTAAAATAATGTAAATTTTATATGGATCACATGTCACACAATCTGATATGAGCACATTTAAGTTACATCTCCATTTTTTGTTTGATTCTGGCTTCTAGCAAATAAATAAGACAAAGAAAAAAATTCAAACCAAATTAAAATTTTAAACAAAATTGTTCTTGGGATTACATGTGGTAACCTAAAAGAAATGCTTAACCCTGTTGATTTTTATAATAACTTTGGTTAAGAAAGGGAAGTGAATCAAAGAGAACATTATTCTTGAAAACTACAGATCCCAGTAGAAGAACATAAACTCAACATTATGTGCCTCTAATGTCAGTTAGTTACCTGTAGATCATGGGCCTGTGACACTGATGTTACAGTAAGAGCCCTAGGGGGTAGGGCATCATTTGTCTTCAGCATCTGCCAAGGGGGGCGTGTCTGAAGGGGTTGCACTTCATCTGCATAGCTGCTGGTACCATCAGCATGGTCTGTTCTCTTTGTGCGAGGCTTGGGTCTGAGGGGACTTCATGAAGAAAATTTACAAAATAAATCGAGAAACCATAATTTCTTTATCATCTTTATTTAGAAGGTTTGCTTACTGAAGAATCACTGATATCTTTGAAAAAACATGTGGCATGAGCATTTTAAGAGGTTGAAGATTAGCTAGTAACACATATTCAGCTCTGATGACGATGGTGTTTCGATTTCTCTCCCTTAAATTATTAATGAGTTGATATATCCTTCCATAGTATCTCGTATATTGTGGAAAGTATATGAAAGGAAAAACAAATCAAACGCTAACTTAGAAACATTCTGTGCAAAATTTATCAAAACAATGTGACTGAGCATTAATAATAAAGCAAAACAGGTCTCGATTCGAATCGAATTTTGCGTCAACTGCAATTAGAACCTTTTTACCTGGTAGTAAATGAAGGCTGAGATGGGACTTCTATGTTCGAATGTGTGATACTCCATTCCGACACTCTGAAAAAAAATCACGATACAACCAACTCCTTTGATTTGAATTCCACATCGTGATCAATCATACAACACAATATAGATTATTTTGAAAGACAGAAGTCTAACCGGACTGCCTGTGGTTCGCGAATCAAAACAGGAGATGGTTCATAGTCTTGTCTATCATCAGTCTCCGAACCTGATGAGGAACCAGAGGAAGAATTCGAACTTGAGGAACTTTTAGACATATTGAAGCCTTTCATCAAACGTTTCTTCCATTTTCCTGTCATTTGAGTGTTCACTACACCCCATTAGATTTGTTTTTTGAATTCCTAAACAACCCAGAACGCCATTTTGTGAACTTCCAGAACACCGCGCGTTGCCTTGGTGCCGAGTTGTCATGGGAAGTACTGCTGACCATGTCCTTTTTGGGGCGCCGATAATCTGGACGCAAAAAAATTCTCTTCGTAAATAATCCTAAAATTTGAGAACTTGAGCCATTGAAATGTTTAATTAACGGTTTGTTTTAGATTATCTACACGTGTAAGATGGAGGAGTGAACTCTTTATAAAAAGTGTATTAACATTAAAGGTCTGTAAAGATATTATCTCATGTTATCCCTATTATTCCAATTTGCTTAACAATTCAAATGTGTTATCCTCAAGTTATTTGTATTTATGGTTACTTAACTTTCTAGACTCCTTCTAACGTTTTCTAGCCATGTTTATAATTAATTTGGTTGACTTTCTAAGTGTTTGTGTTATGTTTTAAGACTTTCGTTGATATCTCTTTTGTTGTTGAGGTAAGAGATCGTTGTGTACAACCAATGGTGTGAAAATTTCATTAATATTGCATTGTTCTAGAACCAATGATCGAAGCGTTTGTTAAAACAGCAATCTAAAATATCTCTTACTTGTCAATCAACTTGTGCGGCGGAGTGTGTACACAACTTCCGATTCCTGAAAGATGTCGAATAACGCGCCCTTTACGAAGTCCAAAACAGAGAAGTTCCGTAAATCTCGCTCCGTATGCATGGCTTTTTTCTGTAGATGATGGATGATATAATACAAGGTCAGGAGCCTCAAGGTTTATTCTCCAAGCGTTCGTCTTCAAATATTCTCTCAGATCCAAGGATTTTGGCACATTTACGGATCGTGGCAGAAGAGGCTCAAAGCTCTGAGCAGAATCACGAACATGATGAAGAATCAGAGCTGCAGAACACGAAACGGGAGCTTGGGTTAAAGATAGCGGCTTACAACAAAGGAAACCAACATGGGGCATTCCGACTGATATTGAAAGAGGTACGAGTGATGTTTATCACGAACGAATATATTGGCAAAGGAATGTTGGCCTTAACCATCACTGAGGGATAATTATAAACGCTTATCTCGCTTTTCTTGTGTCTGGCACAGAAATAGACAACTTAAATCTGGCAGCGAAAATCGAGTTACAGTAACGATTAGATAACTTTTGAAATTAATCGTTTCAGTCGTTGACATTTTCTCATCAAACTGTCACTTACATTCCCTACATGTGGCAACCAGACATGCAGGACTAAAGCTAGCCAGCACTAGCGAACGAAGGTAGAATCGTATTGCGATAAATCGTATTGGCTGATTGTTGGTTCGATTGATGTGTGACTCGTGCAGCAGAATACTGAATCAACTGTGATGCACTATTTCAATTTCAGGATTTAGGTTTCGAGGGAGCTTTACGTTTCTACTTTGAGGACGGGAAAGAGGAACTAACAAAGGCTCTACGCCTCACCAACAAAACTCTGGTTTCGGAGCTGCTACCAACGCTGATCGAAAAGTTCAAGCCCGATTTGGCCAACTCGGTAGTTGAGAAGAAGGCCAAACTTTATGAAGTTTACGAAGAAGGTAAAACAGTCTAGATAATTAACAATCGGAGCTAGACCATAGCGAACAAACAATAATGGCACTCAGGCGAAGCGCTGTGCGATTTCAAGTATCCTTAAATAACTATCAGCGCGATTTGAACATTTAATCGAATAACGTTATTTGTAACAACAGGATCGAAAGCGAAATTCTCAGTTTATGATATTATAGTTTATACTTCGTAAGGTGCAAAGAATTTCATTGCAATTAAATTAACCTGATTTGATGCGCACTTTTTGACTTCCAATATACAAGTAATTGTTTTTTTGTAAAGTTTGCAGTGTTTACATTGCGGACCATTCCTAACATAGCAACGTTGACAGTCTTTATTAAAACTCCTATGAATCGAACACGGAAAAGGAAATTTACAATTGCTTTCTCGAAATCTTGGCATACAAATCACAAAATCTAACTTAAGTATGGAATAGTATGCCAAAGTGCGAACAATATGCGCAGTATGACTATCGTTAATATAATTAAACCTCGATGAGCTGAGTAATTAAACGTTACAATTACTAAATAGCGACGTTTTCGAGCTTTTAATTAACTTCGTTTTGGTACAATTTGCATGGTGAATGTGAATTCCTTCTTTTGACATTTTTATAACCACAAGCCTGTTAAATTCCATCATAGATATTGCACTAAATGTACCCCTTTGTAAGAATGTTTTAGCTTGACTTACTTTATCACTTCAGAAAGAGCGAATATTTCGCACGAGTATCACTAACAGGTCACATTTTTACAATTCGTTGATAAGTTAAAATTTTCAAAATTTTGTGAATATTTCATAAATGATTCAGCCAGTTTAAATAGTCTTCGTAATCTCCGAGAAAACTTTCAGTTTAGAAGGTAAGCGTTGTGTGTTCTTTTCCCTATACTGCTGTTTATAAACAAAGAAAGAAAAAGATTGTTTTTGTTTAACTGCGATTATAATAGCTTTTCAAGTGGTACCTAAAGCGTAGAGCTTCTACACCACGAAATGCAGTTCTTCATAGGTGACTTATTAGATCCTAACATTGAGCTGCTTACACTAAAAACAATAAGATAAACAGTTAGCTCACTGTGATATTACTGTCAGTATTTTGCTGACAAAGCCAAACTATACAGTCAAGCTTCTCAAGTGGGCAAAACATATAAATTACTTTTTATTTATTATCAAACATTCTATAATATCAACACACTGGGGCAGTTTTGTATCATAACGATATTCTTGTAAAGGATGCATATATTTTTTTCTATAGTCAGAATAAGCCCATTCTCCAAAATTGCTCGATTTATAACAACTTTGAAAGATCCATCATTTGGTGATAGTACAAAATTTGACAATAATATCATATTTGCTGAGAAATTATAATTGGGCTTCCAATTCTTGTTCCAGACACAGATGATGTAATAAAAGGGAAAGAATACTAAAAATACACAGAACACTCACAGTAATTTTTTTTAAAAGCAATGGCAAGATATTGTGTTCCAATTTAAATTAGGTAGCCAAGTAATTTCCAATGATTTGAAATTACATAAAAAAAACTCCAAACATCTGTGTGGCTTGGAATGTCACATGATTTAAACATCTGTTGTTATGAACAATTTCAATTAACTATACTAACTCTCAACAGATCAGTAGGCATCTTACCTAAAAGGAGCAGCTATTAGGAATGATTCTTTGAAGTTTCTTCCCTTCTGTTGCACTTTTACCCTACTGTTGCCCTTTTTCATAATGTTTCTTTGATTTCCTTCTTTTTATTCCAACAACACCCACCTTGATATCTCTGCTCGTTTTTGCTGTGAGAATGATCTTATTTCCAATTATTGTGATAAATTAAAAATATATTTGAAAACAAGAACAGTCAATCAGAGGGTATTGGGTCTAGGTTATCTTTTTTTTCATTGACACAAAGGCTAAAGAAATTATTAAATCGACTGCTACTATCATAATCACGAGCTTAGAGAAAACTGTAACATTTTAGTGAAAACAAGGTAAAGTACAGAGAAGATTATTTTGAAAAATGATACTTCGTGACTTGTGTTTAATCATTGACCCCACCACCCTGAAGGGGTACTAAAGTTCACTTTGAAAAAAAGGAGTTTCATTTTTCACAGGTACCCTAAAACATACTCAATCACAAAGAAGAACTGTTGATACGATTAGCCTTCAGTTGAAGGTTTTAAATGGAATTTTCATAAATAGATCAAAAGATTAAAAGAACTACTCTAAGGAGCATATAATACTGTATCATGTGAGAGAGTAACTTGATGATCTCATGCTTAAAGCATGGTATTGACAGACCTTGATTGCCTTAAATCTGTTAGTTGGCTAAAGGTCAATTTTGTGTAGTGAAAGAAATGTGTTAAGACCATTTTCTTCTGTTGTAGATGAAATCTGTCTAGATCCTTCTGATGCTCCACTTGAAATTGCGTTGAATGCCAAAAAGCATCCAAGATTTGTTTTACGTTTGGATGTCAAAACTTCCCCTGAAACAAGTGCTGCATCAAATAGTGAAGGAGCCATAAACAAGACATCTGTGCCAAATGGGACAGCTTTGATTGATCATCCTACAAATCATAGTCCAAGTCCATCACTTGCCAGCACCAGAACTGCTGGCAGTGATAACAGTTCTTCTGGAAGCTTTACTGGACAATCACAGTTAAGAAATGACAGCCCTTTACCAAGTAGAAAGCCATTTATAAAGCCAAAAAGTCCATCACCAACCCACAACACACTAAATGACAAAATGCCCTCATCAGCAAGAGGCGATAAGATGAGAAACTTTTTCAGTTCCCCAAGGAGTGCTCTTGGCATGTTTTTCGATGGAGCAGGGAATCAGCCAGATCAGAGTTCTCATGCCGCAAACAAAACTGCACGTTCAAAGCATAAAAGAAAGGGATCTCTTGGCCGTCTTAAAAAGAAGAAGGCAGATCAAAATACTACAACTGAACTTTCAACTGAGCAGATGGCTCCAGGTATTCTCAAGGTCTTTGGAGATCATGTTTCACCTGGCTCAAACTATAAAAGTGTGCGAGCTACTGAGATGACCACTGCAGAAGAAATTGTTCAACAGGCTTTAGAGAGATACTCACTTTCTACAGAGAAGGCTTCTGATTATGTGCTTTGTGATGTAATTGGATACTTTACCAAGAGAAAAGGCAATGTTAAAAATGCAGAGGAAGATGCTGATAAGTGGGAAACAGAATATGCCAGGGTTATTAGTGACCAAGAAAAACCTCTTGTGCTTCAACAATTGTGGAAGCCAATTGGAGGATTTTCTCGCAGATTTGAACTGCGGAAGAGGAGTGAAACTCAGGACTCCTCATTTTTCAAACCAAGAGGTAGCATTGCAATTATGAAAGCTGCATCCATGCGTGAAGCCCATGTACCTACTAGTGTAAGGGAAATCCGTCGTGATACAGGACAAAGTGACGCATCACACATTTCATCGAGTGAAGACCAGCTTTCAAGCATCGGTATTGAAGAGGGGGGCAGTTCTGGGCGAGCATCTTTAATTGCATCACCATTTATTGCGCCCACGGACACACCACACCTTCTCCTTCTCAAAGGTTGTAGTAGCCCTGATGACTACTTATACCACAGGTTAGATGAACAGTTATCCGTGGTTGGTTGCCCTGTGCATCAGCCTGATAATCAATGTGCTGATGTAATTCTATTTGCACCAGATATTTTACCACAACATTGCACTTTGATTAAAAGAGTGGAATCATCAAGTCCAGATTTTGAACAAGAATACAATGATTTGAATTTTGCAGTTTATTTAGAGCCTTCCAGAGGTGCTGACGTGTGCGTAAATGGTGCAGCTGTTTTATCTCCCACAAAGCTGATCCCAGGAGACCTTGTTTCATTTGGAAAGCATTACTATTTCCTATTCAAAGATCCCTCTCAAGTTGCGGATAGTTCCATGAAATTATCCTGGGTCAATTATTTGAAACAATTTCACAAGATGAAAATGGCTGAGGATGCAGAACATGCATCTGGTGTGCAAAATATTCATGATGGTGATACTAGTAATATTTCAAATGCCAAAGATGGTATTGATGTTCCTGATGAAGCACAGAATGGTTTACGATTGTCTTACTCTCATCAAGATGAGGATTACCTGCTTGATATGATAATGAACATGGTAGATTTATCAGGAGATGGTTACAAATTATCCCCATCATATCTGTTAATCCTGTGCATTGAACACTCTGCAAAATATCACACAGAGCTACAAACAAGACAGCTTCTCGTCAAGATATCAAATGGAATCCAGACAGTTGCATCAGTGAGTTCAACCTTTTTTTTTTCTGATGATCTCTTATATTGATTACAAGATTTGTCCTGAAATAATTACTATATCATGACCAATTCCTGTAACAGTTTTTTTATCATCATCCCATACCTGCTTGACATTTTGACATTGCTCTTTTCAGTTATATACAAACACTAAGGTTCAGAGCCAAAACCAATATTTTGTTTCAAGCCACTAAAAACAGATTGAAACAACCCAAATGCGATTAATCAAATCCATAAAGTAGAACACAGGAACATGATTGGGCTTTTTGACTCTCTTAATTAGAGGTCATTAAAACAACTTCCAGCAACACAAAACACAGTTTCACTCATACTTTCATTTAAACTGGAAACAAACAAAAACAGAAAAATTAGAACCACAACATCATTATGCATTATTACTATTATTATTATGATTACTACCTATTATTACCATTGATATTAATATGATATTATTAATATATTATTATTACTTATTATTACTATTGATATTGATATGATATTATTAATATTATCATTATCGTAATTGTTGTTTTTATAATTAGAAATAGTTTCAAGGAAAGTTGTCAATCATGTAGATTTAGGGACTATTTATTTGTCATTGCTGTTCATGGATCCATCTTTCCCTCTACTTATTCAGGAAAAAACAGCAGAAATGTCAAAGACAATTGACAGGTATGAAGTAAGGAAATGTAGTTAGAAAAGGCAAAAAAACACTAAAAGGAAAAGAATATGGCTAAATAGAATGAGGCTAGACAAAGATGGAGAAATAGCAGCAAACAATATGAATTAAAAAAAAAAAGTCTTATTGTCTTGAGATTTATAATCCAAATTGTTTGTTTAACGTTATTAACCCCTGAGATCTGATTGTTAATTCTCCCCTCTAGCTGCTACACATTTTCTTTTAAATTGAGTCTGAGAATTTTGTTTTAGATAAAGATAACATCTCTTACCTGATAAGTTTGAGTATTCTCATTTCCTGTTTGCTGGATAATGTATGAATATTATATTGAGAAATTAATTGTTAATCATTTTTGAGAGTTAAGGGTTAAAGCTGTCAATTGCTCCCAAGATCTAAGTATTAATTAACTGCTATGTGTGTAATGCATTTCTTTGAGTTTTAGCTCTGGGAGTTGACTGTCAAGTAATCAATATCTCCAATTGATATTTTTCTTTCTTTTCAACACCTCTCGGCTCGAAAAAAATTTATTTATGCTTTGAAGAGGGTAGGGGAGGGGGGCATGAAGGTTTCCTACTCACATGTAACATGCTTGTTAGGTAACGCTGCATTTCAAATCTATTTGACTTAGATCTTGGTTTGGTTTTGTTTTGTTTTTGATTTGTTTTGTCTTTTTCAGAACATCAGTTCCAGAAAAAGCTTTAGAAGAGCTTCTTCCTCAGCTACGACCAGTGGTGTTTTGGATGGCCAATTGTCTGCAAATGTTGCCTTACCTCCAGTGCAACATGTCTCGTTACATCAAAGACCCATCTCAAATGGCTGAGAATGGTGATGACAGTTTGCTCAATGCAGATGAAGAACTGCTTATGTTTCTTGAAGAAGTTATCATTTACACTTTTCAACAGACCGTCTATCATCTTACGAAGGCATGTTTAGCAGTGTTTCTTACGTCTCTTCAGTTTAGATCACAGATGATATCAAAATGTGGTAGGAGCAAAGATACAGTGCACTAGGAAGTCAAGTGTGTCACTGATGTTGCTCTGACGTTTTTCCCAACAGCCCTCAAAATCCATAAAATCCGTAAAACCCTTAAAATGACGAAGGAACAATGGAAATCCAGCTCGACTCAAAAATCCCAAGACCACTTTTATTATTTTCGCACGCGCGACCAAACATATTACGTCATAAAGTTTAAATCATTTGTAACCAATGAGCGCGCGCCTGAAATTAAACAATAAAAATGAAACAAAGTCCGTAATTGCGCTTACACCGGGGGGGTAAGTTTTTTTATCAATTGTATAAATGTAGAAAAGGTTACAACAGATGTTCTCACCACATTTGGATATCTTCTGTTATCTACTTCTGGGAATCTATTTGTTTTAAACGATAACATAGCAGTAGTACGTCCTCTGATTGGTCATAAGTAAATCCAATCAAAATGCTTGTATAATTCAGCTTACCATATGATTATTCTTACATGAGGCTTTTGAAGAGAATTTGGATTAGGGAAGAGAATGTCATATCTCATGCATTATTCAATTGTTGCCTTTTTTATGCCACAAGTCCATTAAACCATTGGACTCCTGTTTATGCTTTGTTTGGACAATTAGGAGGATTTTTGACAACTCCCTTGTATTTTCTATCAGGTCTTGTATATCGCTCTTCCAGCGATCTTGGACACAAATCCATTCCAAGACACAGACGAAAACAGTGACAAGAGACCACAGGAAGTGGAAACCGTAATCAGCATCTTTCAGATCACTTACGATGTTGTCAAAGCTTATTCCGTTCACGAAGACATACTTCATCAACTCTTTGCGTATTTGTTTTTCTTCACAAACGCGTCCTTGTTCAACACTTTGATGGAGCGGGGAGCTGGGGGCAAGTTCTACCGCTGGGCTAAAGGAGCGCAGATACGGGGCAATCTGGATATGTTGGAGAGCTGGGCTGCCCAGGTGCAACTTCACGACGAGGCTAATGAGTATTTGATCAGACTGTCCACCGCGGCTGATTTATTGGCCACACCCAAAGTACAGCTCCTACAGGTTAGTTCCTTTCACTTTAACATTTGAATCACGCTTTGCTGCCGCACATTTAAATGATGATAGCTGTCTACAGTTTTCCCATTGAAGTAAAGCAGACTCGCACTGTTACTATTGCAAAATATGAATTCTTAGTCGTACTCCACCTATAAGGTCAACATATCTATTACGTGTGATGTTTTGTTGCTCACGAGTAAGTCACTTCATGTGTAGGCTGACTGGGTGACAATCAGAAGAGATTTCCCAGCACTCAACCCGGCCCAAGTGCAGCAAATTTTGAGTGAATATCAACTCGGCCCAGGCAGGTCTCGGCCAAGAGGCTGGTTCCCCCCTCCGGAGGAAGTAGAGCCTGCACTCCGCACGGGTAAGTAGTGACTCTTAGAGGTGACTGATGTGCAAGCCTCCATACAGTTATGAAGAATGACCTATCAAACTTGTGATGAGAACTGACTCACTTGTTGGAAGCTGGATCTTTTACTTAATATTTTCGGAACTAAATTACAGTGGTAAAGAGCTTAGCTGCAGCCGAATACAACTAACTATGAGCATACATGAATCCCTTTTACAACTTAGTCCAGTCGTGAATTTGGTGCAAGGAAAAGGGAATTCCGCACCGATGATTTGAATGATTTGAAGTAATGCAGGGTATACGAGTCTGTCCTTTACTTTGTTATATTTTTGTTTTTCGTAGCGGACATGTTATTGAACTTCTCAGAACATCCACCATTGAAACTCCCGACTGAAGGATTTGTACTGGACTTTGAGAATGGACCTACGGATCAGTCCTTCTACCACTATTTAGATACGATTAAACAAGCAATGAATCCAGGTAATGATTGATTTTTAAGGTTACCTACTTCTCAGAGGTTGAGCTATGAAGAGAAGATAAAAACAGCGGAATTCTTTGTGACTTGTGTACGTTTTTTTCTATGTAAGGTCTCGGAAAAAATGGATCAGGTACGGCAAGAGTGAACGGAATCAACAGGTTGGTTGAGTGATTCACTAGTAATTTCTTCTCATAATTTCAATACAATATCCTGCAGATTGTTTTTTGGCCTATTCACAGAGTAAACTCAAGGTTAACTTTTGAATTCTTACCTCAGAGTTCAACAACCAGAACCGGAAGTGCTTCATTCAGATGTGATTCGTACTTCGTCATTTACACATGGTCAAGATCACGTGCCTAATTTGGTAGTCTCCCCAGCCTCCCCCTCAAAGGACAAGAAAGAATTCACATTCGAGACGGTCATGTCTAATTCACCTCCATCCAGGGAAGGTATGAAACCAATGGTAATACTGATTCTGAATTCTGTAGAATTGTGTGCTCATAAATAGCTTAAGCGTTCATCGGTTGTACCAGAATTGAAAGCCGAAGTAGGAAGAATTTTGTTATAACCTCTCCCTC